TTTGTTTTTTTTTTTTCTTTTTTTTGAGACAGGGCCTTATTGTATAGTTCAGGCTGGGTTTGAGCTCACTATGCAGTCCACACTGGCCTCAAACTCATGGCAATCCTCCTGCCTCAGCCTCCCAAGTGCTGGGATTATAAGCATGCATACCATGTCTGACCTGTAGTTATTTTTAGAAACATAAAAATTGTGAGGACTTTGGGCTTTTTAAATTAAAAAAAGTTTTATTAATACATGTTTGCAGTACATAATGACTACATTCATTGTGGGGAATTGTTACATGTACATAACACATCTCAATTGTTTTTCTTCCCTTTCCCCCCGCCCCCCCTTTTGCCGACATCGGATTCATTTATTCATCTTATAAGTCCTTATAAATTTAATTATCATATTTACAGATTAACAACTAAACTAACAGGCCCCCAAACACATAGAAAACACATAAGACAATTATACTAAATCAAGGTACACTTTTAGAAACATAGTCCATTTCTCTCTTTTTTTCTATTGTCTGTCTTTTATTTGCACTTTATATATTGAGTTTCTTATATGAGAGAAACCATGTGATATTTAAGCTTGTGTGTCTGGTTTATTTCACTCAACATTATGGTCTCAAGGTGCATCCATTTTCCTACAAATGACTAAAGTTTGCCCTTTATGACAGAGTAGTACCTCATTGTATATAAATACTGCATTTTCTTTATCCATTCATCTGTTGATGGACATACATGCTGCTTCCAAGATTAGCTATTACATATATGGGCTGCCAAAGTGAGCACAAAATTTAGCTATTATGAATTGTGCTGCTCTAAACATGGGCATGCAAAAATCGCTGTGGTATGATGTCTTTAACTCTTTTGGGAAGATGCCTAGAAGAGAAATAGCTGGATCGTGGAATTTCTAATTTTAGTTTTTGGAGGAATCTCCATACTGATTTCCATACTTGTTTAGTACTAGTTTATGCTCCCACCAACAATAAAGAGGTGTCCCTCACCCTCCACCCTGCAGCCTCTCCAGCATTTGTTATTGGTTTGTTTCTTGAAGGTAGACATTGTTTTCTGGAGTGAGGTGGAATCTCAGTGTTGTTGTAATTTGCATTTCTCAAATGGCCAGAGATATTGAACATTCTTTCATGTATTTATTGGCAACTTGTACTTCTACATCTGAGAAGTGTATATTCATTTCAAACATCCGTTTTTTGATTGGGTCTTTAAATTTGGAGGGTCTAATTTTTCTGAATTCTTTATATATTTTGGATATCAGTCCTTTGTCTGAGGAGTAACTGGCAATACTTTTTCCCATCCTCTATGTGGTTTGTTCACTCTATTGGTGGTTTCCTTTGCTATGCAGAAGCTTTTTAATGTTATATGATCCTATTTTTTGACTCTTGGTATTATTTCTTGTGCAACCAAGGTTCTGTTCAGAAAGTCTGTCTTCAAGAGTTTTATCTATTTTGTCTTCCAGAAGATTAAGTTCTTCTGTTTTAATATTTAGATCTTTGATCTATTTTGATTTTAGTTTAATGCACGATGAGAGATACGGGCCTGGGTTCAATCTTCAGCATGTGGAAAGCCAGTTTTCAGGCTTTGGGTTTTTCAACAATTATTTATCCTTTCTTGTTTCATCTTCAATATTTTTAGATCCTATTATGTTAGAACATAACATTTATTTGTTAATTTTTAGGTAGATAATACATGTATTTAAAACAAGATCCAACAGATATAAAAGTGAATAGTAAAAAAAAAAAGTGAATAGTGAAAAATAAGTTTGCCTCTTTCCATACAAGTCTCCCTCCTGGAAGCAACTGGTACAGATCCTGTTAGAATCATTTGATATAAGATTTTTTTCAGTGGTAAGGATTGAACCTTGTCCTTGTGTACCAGGCAAACACTATCCTTAAACTACATCTCCAGCCTGAAGTTATCTTTTGACTTATTTGTTTATTTTGAAGTGTTGGAGACTTGGGTATTTCATTATAGTAATGAAAAATGGACTAATACATGGTCAATTTATCTGTCTGTCTGTCTGTTTGTTTATTTATTTATTTATTCATTTATATATTGGTACCAGGGATTGAACTGGGGACCTCGTGCCTGCAAGGCAGGTGGTGACACCACTGAGCTAAATCCCTGGCCTGGGTCAATTGATTTTTGACAAAAGCAAATTGCCCAGAAATTCAATGGAGAAAAGGTAATTTTTTTCACCAAGTGGAGCTGAACAACTGAGCATCCATATACAAAATTTTAGAAAAAGAAAAGAAGGAAGGAGGGAAGTGAGGGTAAGAAGGAGAGGAGGAGGGGAGGGAGGATGAAAGGAAGGACCCAGTCTCATAAAAATCAACTCAAAATGGATAATATACATAAATGCAAAATAGAAATTTTAAACTGTTATAAGAAACATAGGTAAAGGTATTTTTATATAGAACACACAAAAATCAACTATAAAAGAACACTTCAAAGTTAAAAATCTTGGTTCTTCAAAAAATGGTAAGAAGGACTGGGGGTTTAGCTCAGTGGTTTCGCGGCCTGCTGCGCAAGTGCAAGGACCCGAGTTCAATCCCCGGTACCAAAAAAGAAAGGTAAGAAAATGAAAGAAATAAGCCATATACTGGAAGAATATATTTGCAAAACGCATACCTAATAAATATATTTATAATATATAAAAGACTCTCATAACTCAATAATAACAGAACAGCCCAATTTTCAAAATTGACAAAAGACTTCAATATCTATGCACACAAAAATACATATGAATGACAAGGGTATGAAAAGATGCTTGACATCATTGGCTTTAAAGAAATTAAAATTAATACCACAATGAGTTACCACTACCTATCTGTTAGGAGAGCTAAAATAAAAAGACCTGACAAACATTTGAACATTTGCAAGTATGCAGGGCACTTACAGTGCTCAAACATGGTGGAAACGCAATAATATAGTCCTATTAGAGAACATCTTGACAATCTCTTTTAAAATTAAACACTTAACCATATAATCCAGTGATCTCCTTAATTTACAGATCAAAGTTCATACAAAATGTCCATACAAATATGTGTACATAAATGTTTACATCAGCCTTGTCATATGTTTGTTGTAAACCTGTATGAAATACAGTATGAACTCCACAATGAGGTCTCCCCATTGAGTAGGTATCTTGGAAAAGGGAAGACACTTTCTCTCACGGGTGCCTTCATGATGCCTGACTTGAGGACATCATTGTAGAGCACAGGGATAACTTGACCATCTCAACTTGACCATGAAAATGTTCATGGTACAGCTATGAAAGCAAGGTTGGGATAGTGTGATTGAGGAAGGAGGAAGAAGAATGGATTAATGAGGGGAAAGAATCATCCAGCAGGTGGGAAAGAATGGAAATTCTCCATCATCTGAGTCCCTCTGTCTTTGAGGCTGGCCAAGACACTATAGGGCACATTGGTGTGCCATCTCCATGGAACTGTGCTTGGGATTTCCTTTTGAACATTTCCAATAACATCTGCAGGATTCTTGTCCAACTGGCTCACCAAAGAAACTATATAAAACATATAATTAGGTTTTTGTACCTGATCCATTTTCACTAATTTATAATCAGTAGAAGACCATCTAGATGTTGGGGCAGCTCTGTGATTTGAGTGTGTAACATGTAATTCAGTACCCTAGTTTTATGTTAGGTTATTAGGATTTTCTGATAAAAATTATTCCCAGTCTCCCAATCTACTTGTGTTTCTCTTAATGACTCCTGGATCCTGAGCTTCCTTTGCAGTCTAAAGAAGGTATTGTACTGATAATAAAAACCTCTGGTAGGAATAAAAAGTTGTCAAAAAACCAAAAAAGGAATCTTGTCAAGTTGGATATCAATCTTTGGGGGAAGGGTGACCTTCCAGCTGTGTCATGAAGGTGAAAAAGCCATTTGATAGAATAAAATTTTTTCCTATAAATCATGCTGGGTCAATTGAACGATCAAATACAATATAAACCTAAACTCTTCTCACAACATACTAAAAAATTAAATTGAAGCTGGGTATCATGACGCACACCTGTAATCCCAGCACTCTGGAGGCTGAGACAGGAGGATTCCCAGGAGTTCAAGGCCAGCCTGGGAGTACATGGTGAGTTCAATGTCAACCTGAACTACATAGCAAGACCTTGTCTCAAAAAAATCAAAAGTAAATAAAAAATAAAGAAATGAAGAAATAAAATAAAAAATTAATTTGAACCTGTAGCCCCAGCACTCTGAGCTGAGACAGGATTTCAAGTTCAAGCCTAACCTGGACAATTTAGCAACTTAGTGAAACCCTGTCTCAAATTAAATATTAAAAAAAGATCAGAGGATATAGCTCAGTTTGAAGGCCCTGAGTTCAGTCCCCCAGTCCAGACAAAACAAAACAACAATAAACCGGTGCCCCCCAAACCAAAAAGCAAAACAAAAAAAAGAACTCACAATACCTTGTAATAGGTCCTGGATCCTAGGCCATTTCCTTACTTAAATGTTAGAAGAAAAGCTATAAAACTGCAAGAAGGAAACAAAAGAGAAAATCTTAGCAACTTAAGTTTGGCAAAGATTTATAAATAGCCCTCAAAAAGCAAAATAAATTGGACTTACCAAAATTTAAAAATTTGCTTTTCAAAAGACAATTGCTACTCAAATGAAAAAGCAAGCCACAGAATGGAAGAAAATATTTTCAATACATAAATGAGACCCCCAAAAGATAAAACAATAAATGATTTAACAAGTGAAGATTGGCAGAGAAAATAATAGGGAAAGCTTATCATCTCAAGAGACAATAAGGCAAATAATTCAAACAAGTTATTATAGAAGGTGAAATTAGAT